GCCGGGGGCGGCACCGGGGCGGCGCTCGGGGACCGGAACGGGGCTGGGGGGACCGCGACAAGGCTGGGGACGGGGATGAAGAGACCGGGACGGGGCTGGGGACCGCGGGGACCGGGATGGGGAGGCTGGGACAGGGCTGGGGAGACCGGGATGGGGAGACTGGGATGGGGAGACTGGGACAAGGCTGGGGACCGCGGGGACCGGGATGGGGCTGGGAAGACCGGGATGGGGCTGGGGACCGCGGGGACCGGGGCGAGGGGACAGGGACAGGGTTGGGGAGACCGGGATGAAGCTGGGGACCGTGAGGACTGGGATGGGGAGACTGGGATGGGGCTGGGGAGACCAGAATGGGGACAGGGACTTGCACAGCGCTCGGGACCGCAGGAAACTGGGATGGAGCTGGGGGCTGTAGGGTCCAGGATGGGGCTGAGGAGACAAGGATGGGGACGGGGACTCACACAGCGCTTGGGGCCATGGGAAATGGGGATGGAGCTGGGGGCTGCAGGGCCCGGGATGGGGCTGGGGGCTGTAGAACCGGCCCTGGTGCCCTGGGCACTGGAGTCTGGGATGGGGCTCTGAATGGTGAGACCTGTCCCGAGGCTCCAGGCACTGGGGATGGTGCTCAGGGCCCTGGGGACCTGTCCCAGGACTCTGGGCTCTGGGATGTGCACTGGGATGGGGGTCAGGGCACTGAGGGCCAGGCTGATGCTCCGACCTGCAGCATCCAGGCCTGGGGCTCCAAGCAGCAGGGAATGAGCCCTGGGCGCTGGCCGTGGGATGGTGCTTGGGGCTGGGGGGAGCTGGGGGGAGCTCCCCAGGGCTGTGGTCCCCTCGGGGTGGGGACTCCCACGCGGGCCAGGCCGACACGGAGCTGCCCCTGCCGCTGCCCCTGCCGCTGCCCCGGGGCTGACCCGGCCCTCCATCCATCCATGCTCCGCATGTCCGATGACTGACTGCTCTGAACACAGGGCAGCCACAGAGGAAAATCATTCATGACTCGGGAAAGCACAGTGCTGAGCTTAAGGACAATCCTAAACTTTTTTATTAATATAATAAGATTTTTTTAAAAACCTATGCTATTACATGACACTATCTGCAACCTCCTTTTTGCATTTTTATGTGTCTGTATGCACACACGCGCACACACGCTCATTTAGGTAAGTCAATTAAAGTATTCCTGTATATTCCAATAAGGGAGCGCCTGTCTCATTGCGGCTCCAGTGCGCAGAGTGCGGGAAGCTCGTTACACGTAGCCTGCACCTTGCAGGCACTCTTGTCTTAGGTCACTAACAAACGACATCGAATATTACTTTAAAAACCCACCAGATTTTGGAATATTTAGAAATGAAGAAAAAAAAAAAGTGGACTATAGGATTCAAATTCACAATCTAAAATATAAGACCAACATCATTGTTATAGGTAAAATATGCCTGAAATTCATTGTATAAGACATTTGAATTATGGAAAGTATAAACTTTATGGCTGTAAAAATATAAGCCCACCTTTAATCTAAATAGTGTATTTAAATCTAAAATGCACTTTTAAAGGACATTCTGGTGCAGCTGGAAGGGAGGAGCAGCGCTGCTCGCTGCGCGTGTCCTGCGGCAGCCGCAGGGGGGGCCGGGGCAGGGGGCGGCCCGCGG